TGTATACCGGAAATTATAGGTTTTCCAAATCGTCCAGGACATCAGTTGATTTGTTCTACTAGATCAACCAAGACTGCAATAATGTTATTTCCGAGTAACTCAGATGTTCAAGGTACTTCTAATCGTCCTGGAGTTCAGATAATTTGATCTACTAGAAAAACAGACATTGAAATTATTGTAAAATGTTCATAGTGAACTTGCAGAACGAACTTTCGATGAGAATTTCTACAGAATTTTCAAATGCACATAAAAAGAAATCAAGGAATAAATTTCAAGGAATTCTGAGGAGTACTCAAATGTAGTTGTAATAAGAATTTTAAGAAAAAAATAAGGATTGCTTCGAAGAGAACCTCCTAATTCGTGGTGAAATCTAAGGATAACTCTAAGAAAATTGCGATGAGAGCATCAAACGAATTCCGAGGAGAATCCCAAAAGAGTCCTGAAGTAAATTCTTGAAACAATCCAAGGCAATTTGAAAAATAAATGAGTACAAAGAATGATTTTACGGGTATTTTGGAAAGAAAAAAAATGTTTAGGAAAATTATATCGAAATTGTGAGTTGGATGAATTTTAAGCAGAATTTCAAAAGAATTCTGAAAAAGAACTGTAGATGACTTCTGATTATAAGTCCAAGAAAATAATGAGGAGAATTCTAATACAACTGAATTGAAAGAATTTCAAGTATAGCTTAAGGACGATTCCAAGGAAGTTCTGAGTAGAATTCCAGCCTAATTCTGAAAAGAAGAAAGATGGAAATGTTGGGGATAATTCCGAACGAATCCTTAGGAGTAGTCCATGTTAAAGTAGTTTATTTAGTCCTAAAGGAATTCAAATTAAACGAAGAGCTTCAAAGCATTCGGTGGAGTATTTAAAGGTGATTCCATGCAGCGTTCATTATCAGCGTTCAAATTATCCGTACAGACATTGACAGGATGCCTCTATACAACCAAACGGATTAAACTAAGTATACCTATATGGTTTAATATCTTGACCTATTGTCTTTATACGCCGTAAGCTTGGTTGTGATTTCAGAATAGTTTGTGCGGAGCTGTTGCTGAACTTTTTCGTCAAGGAAAAACTGTGTCAGAGTTTGCAAAGACGCTGAATATGGCAAAATCTACTGTGAGTGACTCAATAAAACGATTCCAGGAGCTTGGAACGCTAGAAGACCGCGTCGAGAGAGGAAAAAACGCACCGTTCGGACTCCACAAATGCGCGAGATAATCCGGCGACGAATCAAGCGAAATTCAACAATTTCCATCCGAAAGTTGGCGAAATGACTGGAAATGTCGAAATCTTCCGCTGCTGCCATAGTTCATGATGACTTGAAGCTTAAATCATATAAACTATGCAAACACCACTACTTGAATGACACCATGAAAACAAATCGGTTCAGATAAGTTAAGGTTCTTCTGAACCAGTTGTCCGAGGGCCGCCATCAGTCAGTGCTGTTTACCGATGAAAAAAATGATCGGCAGTTGCTTCCTGTTAGTCTGTTATTTCTGAAAATCGAGGAAGTATTTCAAGGAGTCATCATACCGGTTCCGTCATGGTTTGGGCTGGAATAACTCACACCGGCAAAACCCCGTTGATCTTCATAGCCAAAAGGGTAAAAGTGAACCAAGCCGTGTATCAGAAGCTGTTGATTGATTCAGTAGCTGGGCATCACAGCATTTCGGCAACAACGAGTGGATTTTTCAACAAGACTCAGCCGGCTCATGGGGCAAAAAAGTCTATTAGTCTCTGCAAACGCCTTTTTCCGAGCTTTTTGACGACAGAGGAATGGCCTTCCAACTCACCGGATTTAAATCCAATGGACTATTCGGTATGGTCTATCTTGGAGTCAAGAGTCTGCAGAACCCCGCATAAAGGTTTGGGTAGAAATAGCTGAAGAAGAACTTGCGGCCATCGTGGATAACTTCCCGAAACGTGTGAATGCGTGTATCTCAGCACGGGGCGGCCTTTTTGGAATGAAAAAATAAGACTGTTTTCTTCTATAAATATTGCTTTAATAAACAATGTATTTTGATTTTTTTAAGTTGTCAATAAAAGATAATTTCAACATCATTTTGTTGATAACATTCGGACACCCTGTACACTTCGCGATTTCACAAGTAAAAATATTAAGGTTTTTGTAAATGCACGTAGCTCGAACTACTACTTGTTGTTTGCTGTCAAGAAGTAAGCAATGTCTGAAAAGTACAGATATATAAACCTCACAAATCTTGAAATTGTGAGGTGTGATAAGAAAAATTACTCTACAAAGAAGCACCATAATGCAATGCCTTTTAGAATTTGAATGGAACTCAAATGAGGATTTCATATGAATTCTGATGAACATTTCAAAGAATTCCCGAACAGAAATTCAAAATAATTCAAAAGAACATTGTTGTTGGGATTTGGGTTTGAGTGTTGGGAGATTACTTTTACGCTGAGAAAAAATCCAAATGAGAATTCCAAGAGTTTGTAGATTCTATAATGTTATGAAGAAAATAAAAAGTAAAAAACAAGAAAAAGTAGGGTAAATGGCGGCTTCGGCAATACCTTATTCTATTATCGTCAGGGGGCAAACAACGTCCTTGAGAGCTCAATTTTGCCATGTGGATACATAGTGTTTCTGAGCATCTATTGTCCAAATTTGAGTGCTCTAGGACTTTATTTACCCCTTGACGATAATAGGTCAAGGTATTGCCGAAACCGACATTTCCCCTACCTATCAAGATGAATTTTTAGTAAATACTAAAATAATTCTAAAGAAATTCTTGAAAAAAATCCTGTGTGGATTTTTTTCAGGTACTTCGGATGTAAAAAACAATTGACATCGTCTTCAACCAGAGGTTGCACAGACTGAACACTTAACACTAGACAACGGACAACACTCAATAGATCAGAAGGGAAATTTTCGGGTTGCGAAAAGTTCGACCGGCTGGAGCAGAATCGAACCCTCACTTCGTGGCACTCAACCTCTGAACGACGGGTGATGCCGCTAAACGCCCTCCGAAAAACATTTTAAAGATCCAAGACACGGAAAAAAGCAAGTTCCAGTTTTTGGAAAGTTTTTAAGATTACGAGACTTTGAAAAATGTGTGAACTCTTTTGATAAGACGAGATTTCAATTGCTCAGTTCATCAAGACACTGGGACTCGGATATTTGAAATTTCTGATTTTTGAATTTATAATTTTAAATAAATCATATGCCTTAGGCTTGATAGTAAGCTTCCATCTAGAGTTATGTCCTTTAACTATATTTATGTTTGTATTTGTATTGTATTGTATAGAGAGATGATTATTCCGATTTCAAAGTTGTCCTTGCTCGCTTTCTACTCTCTATGTACAATTTTCACACTGACGTATTCTAACGGAACTATCAACTCTATTCTTTCATCTTCTCATCTATCGTATAAAATGACCACTTTGTCTACTATTTGAAACTTGGCATGTTCAACTATGTAAAATCGTTAACTTCACGCAGACCCAGACAACCAGAATGCACGTATATTCAAAGTTGTTTTCGTGATATACAAACATATATACAAACAAACAAATCGTATAGAATGCAAAGAAATGGCTTATACGTACACAAGTGGAGGCCATATACGTGAAAATTTTAATTTAATTGTAAACGAGTTGATTTAACATCATACACGATTTAATCTGTAATAACAAATTCACTTTTAAAAGTCTTGCGATGTAATCCGATTTGATTCGTGATACAGTACGACGGAAAAATGAATCATCGCATAGAGGTCGGAAATTTGCATTCCATACGATTTAACTTAAACATAATGCGATGCATCTCATTCTTATATGCGATTTTGACATAAACTGTAGCAATTTACGATACTGTCTGCACATTGTTATATGACTTCTGGTTGTCTGGGGAAGTAATACAAACATAAATATAGTTAAAGCACTATACATATCTTTGTTTAACGCATTTACATCCGTATTTATATTTTTTTACTCTATTAGCGGCGCCGGTGGTGTAGTGGTATGCGTGATTACCTCTCACCCCAGCAGACCTGGGTTCAATCCCAGTCGGCGCCGCCGGGATGTTCTGAGGCATAACATCTCTGATCACGGGGAAGGTGGGAAGTAAAGCCGTTGGTCTCCGGTTCATGAGTTGATGGGTCGATAGGTGGGGACCAGGTTTGGGAGCTGCCTTCCTGGCGTCGGTAGCATTGGTGCTCAGCACGGAAAACAAGATCGACGGAAAACAAATCAAAGAATTTTTTATACTATCGTTATGGGTTACACTGTTACAAATACAATTCATAGGGGGATCGAAGGGGATGCCTAGTGAATTTTCTAATGAAGTACCTCAATGTTTCGTTTAGGTATTGCATGACCATTTTGCTGCTTTTTCGATGCTTATTCAGGTCTCCAACAACTGAGCAAGATTTTATTGAATTTGGTTATAATCTCGAAAATTCGAATTATAAATGTGCTAATTAGTTGGCCATTTTCAACCATCCCGTCAATTTCCGGCAAGCGCTTCCAATAATTTGATATTACGTTCACGCAAAATTCAGCATATTTGTAGCTCTGTGTCAAAATTTTAGCTCAATTGATCATAACAAAACATAGCCAAAGTTGGCTAGTTTGTATCAAAATCGACCTATTGTGCTAATTGAAAGGCCACCACTGTATAACATTGAAAACTGGTGTTTATTAGAAATCGTCAATAAAGGGGGTGATCTCCAGCGACGGCGGGTAGGCCGATTGGCTTAAGACTTTGGATTTTCGGTCGATACAACTGGACCCACCAATACTATAATGACATTGGGGCGAATGTTTTTCGGATTTGTTGGACATTCGGGCGAATTTTGTGGAACCGATTCAAGTGCCTAACTTTTACCTTTCTGGAGTTTTTAGGTGACTCGAACCGTTAGCGTTAGAATATCACACGTATCCTGTACTTTTTGTTTTGTAGTCTTGAAATTGAAAACACTATTATAAATTAATTTACTGTAAGTAAAGCGCACTTTTTCTTTATCTAGTCGTTTCCAAGCCGCGTGGATTCTTTTCTATAAGCATAGATTGGTGCAGCTGTGGGAACAAACGTAAGTTATAACTATTGGATGAACTGGTAAAGTTTGCAACCTACAAACATGTGCGCCATAACAATTTCTGTATACTGCTACTAACTCATCATATACTAATGCTTAGCATTAATTGGATTATTCAAAATTATACTAACTCTTTTCCTCTGTTGAATTGGTTTTAAGTTAATCAATTGGCTAAACCTTCAATTTTTCTTCTGGAACACTTAACATCTTGTCATTTACTTGCTTAGCTATAGTTGAAATTAACACTAATCTCAATTCGCATGACCCTCTGTGTCTTTCCGCAAACACACCGCGCGGGCCCTGGCCAAACTGACCCGATCATTGTCTTCCCTTTACAGCCACTTGAAACAATTCGGCCTGATGTCCAGTGATCCGTTGCTCTGGTGGAAGGCTGGCCTTGGCATAGCAGCAGCAACCATCGTTGGATTCTTCGTCGTGAAGGCGTTTCACGGATCTAGCTCACATTCACGATGAATCGTAAAGCACCAGCTGGCAGCAGTCGGTAAGAAAATTAAAACAAATCGCTTGTTTAATTCTTTTGTAAATATTCGTCGCTTGAAATACGGTTACAAAGTTGTAATTGGCTACTACGGTTCAGATGACTAATCTATAGAGATTATCTCAACATTTGCATTATTGCATTGACTCGCTAAAAAATATTCCTAGCAATGGCCAAATTTATAATGGCAAGTGGCAACTAGACTATATAGACTCTATGCAACTTCTTCTAGTGTAGCGTTACAAATACCGGAACCAAAAAGTAACTTGCAAGATAAACAATTGGATTCTAAATAATTGATCAGCAATATATTTTCTAGTTTATTCAACCAACCATCTCAGTTTCGATGATGCAATACGTATATAGTTTTTTTAGTTCTTCAACTCTACAACAGTACTGGAATAGTCTAAGTTGGCATGTATTATGTGATTTTCGTTTGTCCTTAAGGATGCTAAAAATTCTAAAAATGCAGACCTTAGCAGAAAGTAAATGCGCACTGTTCAATTGAAAAAAAAACGGCGGAGTCTAGAGGCAAAAGGAAAACAATGTAATTAGTGTGACCATTAAATTAGAAACACAAAATATAACAGTAAAATTCACGCGATAATGGACGGGTGTGCACTGTTTCCGGTAGGATTGAAAGAATGATTTCCAACGAGGTTTCAATGCCATGAATGTCACTTCCCCGAACGCCTTTACCGCGATTGAGATTATGCTTTCTTGTGATTGCTACTACCATTTTCCAGAAAACAATTTTTCGAAATATATCATGTTCAATATGTTGATAAGAAGGTAGGTAATTCTTTCTTCTGAAAATTCGTTAATTACATGATTGATTTGAGAAGGCGTTGATGCGCTGTAGTTGTCGAGTACGCTAATAGCTCCTGCGTGAAATGTAGAGCTATCAGGATCTGGATACAGGAATCCCTGGCAGATTAAAGTTACCCAAAATTAATATCTCATCAACTGGAGTGGCACTTTCGATATTTGTGAAAACTGACGGACAATTCATTGTCCCGGACTCGATCAGGTGGAATGTACAGAGCGCATAGAAATAGTGTGCGATCACCCAGATTGATGGCTGTCCAAACCTGCTCCACATTGTTCCATGAATCGTTCTCGATGGTCTTTGCCTCCAACTTGCCACGGATAGCTACAAAGACACCTCCACCAGCAGATTTACGTTTGTTAGGATTCCGATCGCTACGAAAGACCTCGTGGTCAGGACCGAAGATTTAAGTGGAAAGCGTTCGATAATCGAGGCCAGGACAATTATATCGTAACAACGATCCAATACAGCTAGGCGGTACTCTTCAACATCAGAATTCATTCCACCGGCGTTTTGGTAGAAGATCACGACGTCCTGGCTACGGCAAGGAATATAACAACCTTTTTAACAGATACATCAGGCAATAACAGACCATCATCGAGTGTGATTGAATACTCGCCATAGTGAGTGGGTTGGAAAAACCCCTTTCCACATCCGACAGAAGGTCCGCAGGGCTGGTAGCAGGTCACTATTTTGAAGCCAGTCACTAAAAAGTCATTTTTTTCATCAAAAAGTCACTAAAGTAACTATTTACCTAAAAATAGTCACTAAAGTCACATTTTCTCTACTAAAACAGAGTGAAATTTGGCACCAAGAAAGTCTACAATAGTTTTAACAAAATATACATATCTGTTAAAAAAAAATAAAATTTGCATACAATTTCGATTAAAAATCGGGAAAAATATATCTACCTCCCCTGCGCTTTGGTCAGAGAGCGTGTTTACTTCGATAGCTTGGTACAGGGAAATTAGTCGCTAAATCACAACACACGATTTTGCCTTGAATAATTCTTAGTTTTATTGACACCTTTTATACAGAGCGAACTGAACTCATTCACTCCTTTGAATGGACTGTACTCTTCCCATTTTCTCCTACTCTCTGCTGCCTGCCCAAACGTAGCAGGTTCATTCACGTTTGCGCTTTGTGCTTTCACGAATCCATAAAAAGCTCTTGTCTATAGTGTCCTGCGCCGCGCTGAAATACACATTCTGTGCGCCATCAAAGCAACCAGTTTTTTTCTCGTTTATTCTGACATTGTCATTTTTCTTCCGTTCATTCTCCCCGCGTTGAGATCTCTAGCTCAACAGATGGAAGAAAGGCAATCTTGGTTATTGCTCTCTTGTACTCGCCGGCCGTAGTCTTGACCGTCACTACACGGACCACGTCGTCGTTGCCAGGATGTAATGCGATTATCCGCCCACGTCTCCATTGCTGAGGAGGCAGATTTTCGTCAAGAAGCAGAACCAACGCTCCAGCATCGATTTTCTTCACGCTGCTATTCCACTTTTGCCGACCTTGCAAGTGATGCAAATATTCTCTGGACCATCGTGACCAGAAATGTTGTTGCATGAATTGAATGTGTTGCCACCTGCTCAATCGTCCAATCTTTTCTTCATTGTAGGAAGGTTCTGGTACTGCCAATCCCGATCGCCCAATCAAGAAATGGAAAGGAGTCAGAACCGACAAATCGTTAGGATCATCTGACATTGGAAATAATGGTCGAGAATTTAAGACCGCTTCAGTTTGCGCCAAGAATGTGGTCAACTCTTCAAAAGTGAGCTTGGTTTCGCCGACGACTCGCTTCAAATGATGCTTCATGGATTTTACTCCAGCTTCCCAAATGCCACCGAAATGAGGACTTCTTGGAGGAATAAAATGCCAGCAAATGCCCTTCACTGCACAGAACTCTTCCACTTTCCGCTGATGTTGTTGGTCATTGAACAAGTCCCTGAGTGCAGCAAGCTCATGATTGGCACCCACAAATGCAGTTCCGTTGTCTGAATGAATATCACTTGGCAAACCACGCTTGCTCACAAATCGATGCAGTGCAGCAATGAAGTTGTCCGTCGTGAGATTGGAGACCACTTCAAAGTGAATGGCCTTTACTACCATGCATACAAAAACAACCACATATGCTTTGTAAACCTTTGGACTTCTTCCTCCTAGCTTCAGTAGAAACGGGCCAGCATAATCAATTCCAACCTTTGAAAATACTGGCGCTTGATTTACACGGGACGCTGGAATGTCTCCCATGAACTGACTCCCTGCTATCGGATAGCACCTTGCACAAATTTGGCATTTCGAAATTACTTTCTTGATGATAAATTTCGCTTTCACTGGCCAGTACCGCTCTCGCACAATAGCCAGCAGCCCACCTTGACCGACGTGATGATGCTCCTCATGCAATTTCCGAATCAAAATCTCTGTGACGTAATGTTTCTCTGGGAGTAGCATCTGATGCTTTCCATCGTATGGAATTGCAGAGTACTTCAGACGACCTCCAACACGAATAAGGTGATCTTCTCCTACGAATGGAGCCAAACTCGTCAGATTGTGGCGCTTGCTTGACCTTGACCGTAGCAACTTCAGAAGATCACTAAACGTTTCTTGCTGAATCAGCCTGACAATAACCTTTTCAGCCTTCACCATTTCTTCTGCCGTAACACTCTTGGTGACACTAATCACAACTTTTTCTTTCTTCAGGTCAATAAACCTCATCACGTAGGCCCAAGCCCTTTGAAGCTTCCTGTAATCACTCACTCTGTTGAATTGCATTGGCGGTTCACTTCTAACAGCCGCCAACACCCTTGCTGGCCTGATGTCAGGCAGGACTGATTCCTCCAATTCTTCTGGCTCATCTGTTTTAAACGCCTGCTTCCACAGCATCGATGGGCCATTCCACCACGATTTTTTGTTCACCAGGTCGATTGGCAATTCACCTCTCGAGATGGCATCTGCAGGATTTTCTTCCGACCTGATATAATTCCAAGTGTAACCTGAAGTTAGTTCCAGCACCGCTGTCACCCGGTTGGCGACGAACTGATTCAAAGCCAGAGGTGACTTCTTCAGCCAACACAAAACAATTTGTGAATCACACCATAAGATGACCTCATCAAACTTGATAGTCATCGATGAAATTACCTTTCGAACCAACTCAGCTAACAATTTAGCATCGCACAACTCTAAACGGGGAATGGTCACCGGTTTCAGTGGGGCCACCCTTGATTTGCTAGCGACCAGATTAACTTCGATTGTGCCTTCTGCTGTTATGCTTCGGATGTAAACCACAGCTCCATATGCCCGCATGGAGGCATCAGAAAATCCATGTAATTCAATCCATGTCGCATTACTGAGAACTACACAACGTTGCTTTTGTTTTTGATTTATTGCCGGTAGCTCTTCTCGAAAATGCTGCCATTGATGCAACAATTCGTCGGGAAGCTGCTCATCCCAGTCTAGCCCAAGACGCCATCAATCTTGCATGATAATTTTCGCACAGGTGATGACTGGTCCCAGGAATCCCAATGGATCGAAAAGCCGACCGATATCCGACAACACCTCACGCTTCGTAGAAGAAATCCTCCCATCAATCAACGGCTCGACGTGGAAAACGAAATAATCTTCCGAAGGATTCCAGATCAATCCAAGTGTCTTGATTGTATTATTAATCCCAGATTCTTCGAAACTGACTTGCTTTTCTTGCAGATCCTCTGGAATTGCAGCTAGGACCTCTGCACTATTCGAACAGAATTTGTGAACGCCAAACCCTCCTCGAGCCAATAATGCTGATAGTTCTTTGTATGTATCGATCACCGTTTCGACCAATTGTTCACCGGTTAGAAAATCGTCCACATAACTGTCCTTTTCGATAACTTGCGCGGCCAGGGGAAACTGTGTACCTTCGTCTGCAACCAGTTGAATCAATGCCTTTGTCGCATGATACGGTGAACTTGCCACACCGTACGTTACAGTTTGAAGCTCGAACACCTTCCATTCACCGTTTTCATCACACCACACAATCTTATGGTACTTGCAATCATCTGGATGCATACCGACTTGACGGTACATTTTTGGAACATCGGCTGTCAGTACCACTTGATGGCCACAGAAGCGCAGAATTATCTCCACCAGATCACTTTGTACAGTAGGCCCAACCATTACAGCATCATTCAACGAGACTCCAGAAGTTGTTTTTGCCGATGCGTCGAAAACTACCCTGGTTTTCGTTGTGGAACTAGAGGTCTTGTACACAGCGTGATGCGGAATGAAGTATCCGCCTTCATCTACGACCTCCACTTGCTTCATATGACCGAGAGCTATGTACTCTGTCATGAACTCAAAATACTGCATACGTTTCTCAGGATTCCTTAACAAGGAAATCATCAGTCGATCATAACGCTTCTTCGCCATAACAAAAGAATCACCAAGTTGATCCTTTAGCTCGTTGAACGGAAGTCGCACTACATAGCGGCCTTGATCATCCCTAGCATGAGTGTCCTTGAAATGCTCCTCAACAGCAGCTTCTGCCACCGACAAAGTTGAACCCAGACGAACGTCCTCGATTTCCCAAAACTTCACCATAGTTTCATTCAGGATCTCTTCTTGTTTACCGAACTGACACAAACGTGCACGTGGTGCACCTCTCCTAGTTTGCACTGAACCTCCGACGACCCAGCCGAATTCAGTTTCAGCTAAGGTTACAGCACTGTTCTCTATCTTCAAGCGTCCCTTCTTCACCAAGTCGAAAAATATTTCGTTGCCAATAATCATATCAATTTCTCCTGGAGCGTAGAACAACGGATCCGCTAACTGCACGCCATACGGTAGTTTCCAGCATTTAGTATCGATCTCCACGACGGGTACGTTCGATGTTATCCTTGGTACGACCAAGAATTCTAATTCACTCGTTGTGAACGAACTGATTCGTGACAGAATTTTCGTCGAAACTAAGTACTTTACTCGAGTCTGAATGTCGTTGAGACCAGTGATAGGAAGATCGATGCGATCCATCTTCAACATCAACTTACTTGCCAACCTCTCTGTGAGTATGTGACTGTCGGATCCTGAATCTAACAGCGCACGACACTTAACGGTGGAACCTCCTGTTCCTACCACGAAAATCTCTGCGGTTGACAACAGTACCTGTCGCTTTGTTGTGCCAATCTGTGCACACAATGTAGTTGCACTTGAGCATTCTACGGCTTGCTGATCCTGCGTTTGCTCTTGCGTCTTCATGCCTGGTGACGGGGACTTATCTTCTTCACTCGTCTTCTCTGTTGTATCTCTAGGATGCAACAGACTATGATGCTTCCGACCGCAACCTTGGACCTTGCACCATTGGTCGGACGGACAGTCGATTACACGATGTTTTTGTTTCAGGCAATTGTAGCATAAACCCGCCTTCGCAGCAAATGATTTGCGTTCCGGGAACTCCATACTCTGGAACTTCGAGCACTTATAAATAACGTGCTCTGCATCACAGCACGGACACGCTTCTCTTGCCGTCTGGATGAACGACTTCGATGTCTGTACTTGAACCTTCTGGTTACTCATTGGACGTTGTTTGGTCTGTACCATTGCCTGTTGTTGCTGTGAGCGATTCGTACGCTGTAGAACGCGTCCTCGTTCACGAAGAAATTCAACAAATCTATCGTATTTAGGAATTTCTCCCTTAGGCAGCTTCAGCTCCCACTGCTCCTGCGTATCGTTGTCGAGTTTCTTATAGAGAACGTTAGACACAATCAATTCCCCCAAGCCTTCGACAGGATAGCCATGACCTTTCAAAGAATCGACGTGCTTCGTACACGTTTCAACCAGCTGAGAAATCGATTGCCCACGGTTTTCCTTGTTGACCTTTGCGCAATCAAGGATAGCGTCAACGTGAGTATCCAGTATCAGCCGTTTATCCTCGTATGCGTCCTCCAGAATCTTCCAAGCCATTTCGTAGTCGTTGTTGTTCACGACGTCCTGATCGATCTTACTCCTCGCAGAACCGCTTAGGGCATTCCGCAAATGCAGAATCTTAATCGCCGGTATCTCGTTCGGGTACTTTGCCATAATGCTCGTGAAAAGGCTCTTGAAGCTGTACCAATTCTCCGGTGTCCCGTCAAACGTTGGAAATGGAGCATGCAGTTGAGGTGCTGGCGCTTGCACAATAATCGGCTGTTGAAAACTAGAGACATTACTTGACGTACCTGGTCTTACATTACTTGCTTCTTGCGCTGCGGCGATCATAGTCTGCAAGTCAACGTAAAGTTCGTTGTGAATTTTTTCGAAGACCGCATACTCTTTGCGTTCAGCAGCTCGTTGATTTCTCGGCAGCAGCACGGAAATTTCGGCATGTATTTTGTCGAATTCGTTCGCGCACCGCCGCAGTGTATCAAGGTGAAGATTGAGCAAATGAATGTTGACTTCTCCTTGCAACGATTCCTTCATCCTGATGAATTTATCTATGATCAGTTCACGCCGATCCATCAGCACCTCCAAGTTGGATTCCATTGCTTTCTTCTTCGCGAGCAGTTCTTTAGAAAGCTTCTGTTCCGCGATTGACGGAATTGTATTCTCTTGTTCACTACGTGAACCTGTTAGCGCTTCCAAAATGTTTCTTCTTGTTAATTGTTGCAACACTCCTCGTGGTGTTTCACAGTCACTCATGTCTACACTTCTCCGGAATCGTTCAACTAGTGATGTACCACGGGCACGTCTACTAGTTCACTTTGACTTTGAGTTACAATATATGCACACGGTGCATCACAAATTGTAACGTTCGTTTTATCGGCTTCCAGCCTCACTACGCACACGGTGCGTTTAATTGTCCAACATTCACATTTACAAGCATAATTACTACCAAATTTGCGTTCGATTTTCAGTCACGGACTGCACTACGCACACGGTATGCTTGATTTTCCAATGATTATGCCACGGACATAATCATTTTCGATATTCTGGCCACGGGCCACACTACGCACACGGTGCGTTCTGTTTCAAATCGCAATCTTCGGCCACGGGCCTCACTAATTGCACTTTTGCACACGGTGCAAACACTGCCAGAACCCGTACTATGCCACGGACATAACGTTTTCTGACCTTCGGCCCCGGACCGAACTTTTGCACACGGCTCACGACAGCAACTAAATTTCCGTAAGCACTACGTTTGGCGGACTAAAATGTCCGCTCATCCGGTTCGATTGGACCAAATGTTTACTTCGATAGCTTGGTACAGGGAAATTAGTCGCTAAATCACAACACACGATTTTGCCTTGAATAATTCTTAGTTTTATTGACACCTTTTATACAGAGCGAACTGAACTCATTCACTCCTTTGAATGGACTGTACTCTTCCCATTTTCTCCTACTCTCTGCTGCCTGCCCAAACGTAGCAGGTTCATTCACGTTTGCGCTTTGTGCTTTCACGAATCCATAAAAAGCTCTTGTCTATAGTGTCCTGCGCCGCGCTGAAATACACATTCTGTGCGCCATCAAAGCAACCAGTTTTTTTCTCGTTTATTCTGACATTGTCATTTTTCTTCCGTTCAGAGCGTATATAGGGCATCGTTGTGCCAATTTGGTCGTGGCACATTTCGAGTATGAGAGAGTGATTGCAGTTTGCTCAAAAGTGCCTGAGTAAAATGCAAGTATTTTCGATGATTACCCGTAGTTGTTACAGTGAAGATATACACCCATATTCTCGTTTATGTCTGGACGTGTTTGTCATACAGAAACATTTTTATTTGATTTTGTGTGGTGGATGGGTTTCGGGCGTGGACAGGCATATGGGTCATAATATTAAGTTTACGTTAGGATAACGTTGAAAAAATGAGAAATGTTTCGCTTCAGTTTGAGAAGCACTTCACTTCGCAACTGATGAACCATTCTGACGGCCCACATTACCGTGCAGGCGCCGTGTGTTGGCAGGGTCCATATTGGACAGTTTAATGTTTGTAAAGTACCATCAGTTAAAATTGTAATTTTGAGCTTTATCTCTATACATTCTTAGGTGTTCATGTTGGTGTACGCTGATTCAATTATTATTGTGTTTGGTGTACGCTGATTCAAAGAGCAAATGGTATTAACATTGAGCTGTCCATAGTTGGGCGTTGTTGAACTTGTAGTACTTGCACAACATTTCATGTGAGTACCAAAGTAACCATATAATCACAAAATAACTTTAAATGTAGGTTCAGAGTGAGACAATGTCACTGAGATATGGTTAGTTGGGTATTCAGGTGAAACTATTACTTTAAAAAAACTAATCCTTGCTGTATCTTTTTTTCGTTTGCATGTAACACTGTCATATTACTAACCACATTGAACGTTCATTCCGAGTGGTGAGCGAACCTGAAGAAGAAGAACATGACTATACAGGATGAGTGGTACCATGACCCCCTTCTCGGAACGAGTGTATTGTTAATGGACCTGGTCTACGGTTCAAAGTTGCATTCTGTGATTATAAGTATCACAGATAAGGTAAAATAGGTAGCATCATCTTTATCGAAATGTAAGTATTATTGACAATAACCATAACTAGATTATATGCAAATTTATGCGATAGGTACCTGGATCAACGTTGTTTAAACATGCGCATTCACTCGTGACGGCATCTAATTCTGCATTTTAAACCTACCCAACCCTCTTCCTTTCTACAATCCCTGAGCAGCTAGTTCACCATAAGTGTACCTCGCAGAACTTTTTTAACCCCCATGGGTAAAGATGCTGTGTTGCTCACTCCTCTCCCCTTCCCTGGTGTATTATGGATGGTGTGAATATTCACATCGGTGACATGGCCCCTGACCCCCTTGTACATCATTTATTTATTTTATTTATTTATTTGTCAGCATCAACAGACTCGATATGGTCCCAATGATGGTTTAACTTAAAATTAAAATCAAAGTCATAAATTAAAACTACAAAACATTAAAACATGATCATTGACTGTTTCCATTTCTGGAGAAGAATGAAGAGAAACATCTCCGAAGTGTTAGTCGTGTCAGGTGAAAATCAAATACTGATGAAACTCGGTTAAATACTCGCTGCAGTCCGCCTATTGCACTGTTGATTGCATAGTTTGTCCTACGTAGTGGCATTCTCAGCATAACATTGTTACGAAGCATTCGGGGTTGGACGTTAATGTTTACTTGCTCCAAGATTGCCATGCAATCAATTCTGCCATGTAACGTGTCCGCGACAAGCAGGGCTTTTGAAGTATCTCTTCTGGTGCGAAGAGGCTCCAAATCGATCAGCTGGCCGCGACTTTCATAGCTGGTAACAAGGTAACATTCTCAACGCGTATGGCAGAAAGCGGCATTGAACGGACTAGACTCTCTCAGTACCATTGTTGTAGTTCGGACTCCAGACCACAGAGCAATATTCTAGAATGGAACGTATCAGGGAACAATACAGTGACTTGAGACAATGGATGTCGGAGAAATTCTTAGCTGTTCTGAAGATAAAGCCCAATGTCCTTGACGACTTGTCGACGATGTACGAGATAGTTGCTTATATGTAAGTTGAGAGTCCAGGATGACACCTAGATTTTTTACATGGCTCACACGTTCAATTATGGTGTCCCGGAGAGCATAGTGAAAAATAACTGGTTCTTTCTTTCGGGTAAAAAAAAAATGACTGAACACTTCGCAGGATTTACTGTCATTCGGTTCAAATGGCACCAGCTGGCAAACGCTTCAAACTGACGTTGGAGCGCTTCAAACTGATCGATCGAGCAGATCCGTAAGTAGATTTTGAGATCGTCTGCATACGATAGTCGTGGACCTTCGATAACTAAATTCATGTCATTGAAGTAGAGTAAGAAAATCAACGGTCCCAGATGACTTCCTTGAGGTATTCCTGACGTAGCTGCGAAAATGTCGGCAGTCACCATGAGCTATCACCAACTGACGATCGGCGAGATATGAGCAAAACCATCTCAAGAGATTTCCGCTAATCCCAAGTCTATCCAATTTGGCGATTGCGATGGCGTGATTTATTTTATCGAAAGCGGCAGACAAGTCAGTGTAGATGACGTCTGTTTGTGACCTTTCAACCATACTTTGCGTGATGTGCGATGTCAGACACAGTAGATTCGTGGTAGTAGATCGACCATTTATGAAGCCATGTTGATCTTCACTTAGATACTGCTTGCAATGCACACTGGGCCACGAACCGAAATTAGCAAGACAAAACCTCTAGCGCATTGGGTTTGCATTATATTGAATTGGTGTCTTTGGCAAAGTTTCTCGGTTTAACATGCGCCTTCATCTGGTAATGGAAATTAGTTCAAATTCTCTCCGCATAGATGGTGCTGCGATACTAACTTTCTTATTTCGCAAGATAGAAGTGTGTTGTCTTCTGCAAAGTTGTAGAACATAAAATAATATATAAAAATGCCCCAGAGCTTAAAGTTCTAGGTCTTCAAATAACAAAGATATAGTGTTGTAAAATTCAACTGAGATTTACGTTTTTTGTACTATTTTCCATACAAACAAGAAATCCTTCATTTTTAACACCGTGTATCTTTTAAGTCGATTAATTTGCAAGTTTTGAGGAAGAGTTTCCAATATTTTGGGTCGATACAAGCGAAATATTAGCCAAAATAGTGAAAAATACCATGATTTTCATAATCCGGTTTCTCGAAAAGTAGCAAGTATTAGCAAAAAGTCGTTTATTTTCTGAAATGTACCATTTATCATCAATCAAAGGTGAAAGTTTGCCGGACATATAATTTTATATATTTGAGATATCTGAGTTCATAGACTACCATGTTTATTCAATTGGCGTTCGCCAATGCACGGCTTGCTGGCTGCGTGCGATGGAAACGATGGAAGATGTCTCTTATGCTTCGCTAGCTGCACGTTGGCTTCTTCATGTATATTCTCGAACATGTGTGCATGTGACAAATGTTGATGAGATATCTAGATTCATATTTTTTTTAATTCTTACAACTAGGGTTACGGTATGTAATGTGGGTCTAGTCCTTTCATTCGGCCTATCACGCAAATAAATAATTAATTAAGGAATATTACACAAAAAATAAGGAAAATATTGATCACTGATGATTGATAAATGTGTACCACACACAAATCAATTTATATCACAACATTTCAATACATTTTCAGCTCTCGTAAGTAATAAAACTGGTTGAGAATATCACTCTGTTCGGAGTTTTTAGCCGCCATGACTTCTAAGGTTAAGATGGGAAGGTTGCACTGACGATCATCAAATGGCCTGATTATGGCATTTATTGAATGGAATTACCTGATAATACACACTAGACATAAAACTCACAGTTACTGTTTGAATATTTTATGTTTATTTTAATTGTTTAACAACGTTTTCACAAGTAAATCATGGACCCAACTTTAGGGACACATTTCTTTTCTATGTTCCTAACTTTGGCCCATGAAATTCATTTGACAGCATATAGCAATAAGAGTAACGTCAACAATGTGGTTTGCATTTGGATGATAAGGAACGAACAGGAAGGGAGATTTTTTCTGCCAAAT